CTTTCAAATTGTAATTTGCAAAAAAAATTCTTTCAAATTCTAATTTGCAAAAAAATTCTTTCAAAATTCTTTCAAATTCTAATTTGCAAAAAAATTCTTTCAAAATTCTTTCAAATTCTAATTTGCAAAAAAAATTCTTTCCAAATCAGACAATGTGATTGTCTGGATTTGTTTTCTCATTTTGTCTCTCATAGTTGAGATCTACCTATGATGTCAATTACAGGCCTCTCTCATCTTTTTAAGTGGGAGAACTTACACAATTGGTGGCTGACTAAATACTTTTTTGCCCCACTGTATAAGGATTGTGAACTCAATTAATTCTAAGTGCATGTCTGCTGTATCAGACTGTTGAGTTCTGAAATAAAATGAGTTATTTCCATTCCATCCATGCATCATGTTGGAGAGAGGCAGATGTAGAAAGGAAATGGTTGTAACATTCCTGACAATGCAAAAAAGCTTGGGGGAATGTCTCTAGTGTAATTGCTCTTCATGACAGCATTAATCTTCAAAAGCTAACACTCACAACAGGAAGAACATTGCAGAATTTCCCCTATATGGCACCAGTCTTTTCAAGCAACCTGAGACCATAAGAACTGTGTTGGTTATGGTTCCTGCAATACAAAAGAAAAGTCAGTCCAAGCAATTTACAAGGTTCTGAAAGCAAACACATTTTTAAAGAAAGATGAAAACTGCATGTATTTTATTGAAATATCTTAAGTTATGAAATAACAATGATACTCTCAACACTTGCTCATGAAATGTAGTTTTACTGCCGCTACAATTATTTTAATACAATGCAGTGCTTGTACCATGTAACAGACATCACAGTTACCATACATTTAAAAAACAAATAGTAAATTTCCAAACATTACTACACAATGCAAAGTGTCATATATTGTAAAATACATTTTAAAAAAATTAGAATACCCTCTGTTACTTGAGTTAAACACGCTAATAATGACTTTATACTGAGTCGCTTAACTGTTAAATCATATTATAGGCTTAGAATTTAAAATGCTTCTTGGTGTCATCTATACTGATCACCTACTACAATGATATTTTGAAAATATAGATGTGATAAATTTTACACAACAAACGTTAAGAGTTTCACAAAAACATTTAACCACACATGGAAATCATGTGCTTAACAACTTATATTACAATAACCTCAAATTATGTTATATTTCTAATTATTTCCTTTTAAAAAACCTGTTTTCCATAAGCACTAATTTCAATCAAATTAATCATGTGATCATTATTCATGTTGCAGAGCAAAAGATTGCTGCATAAGAGCAAAAGCTGTTTCTACAAAATAGCAGTATGTAATGAGAAAATGAACTGCACGAGTTCAGTCTGCAAATGTAAATCACATTATGAAATTTATGTTTTGTTTTAAACTTTTGCAGCAGAGGCAGCCCATCCAGGAATAAAAAATCTAGACTTGGCATTTCACTATCAAGCTTTTTTTCTATTTGCAGGCAAATTATTTTATTATTGATCAAAGATCTAGCACTTTATTTGCACTGGTGTCCTTGTACACCCTTTCACATGCCACATTCAATCTAGAAAGCCAATGTTCAACCATATTTTATCATTTAAGGGAAAATAATGATTTCCTGAAATTCACCTCCATCTGATAACAGAAGTGAGATCTAATGTAATGCAATGTTACAATGCATTCATGTAAATTCATAATTTTAATTCCAGAAAATTCCAGAGTATTGCTTTCTTTTAAAATAAGTCTAAAGTAAAATTGCCAGATCTAATCAGTTTTAAATATGAACTTAAGAATGACAAATGTTAGACTTCTACTACCTTATATCATACATGTATCTCCATATGTTATACAAGTATCCTCATTTACACTGTTAACATGCTTTAGAGAAACATAGACAAGGTTTAATTGAAAGAAGCTTTACAACTTGAGTTGCAGTGCCTGCCTATCAATTTTTGTTTCTTAAAACATACTTGTCATAAGAATATACATGAATGGTTGTCCTCAAATAAAATTTTGGTATCACCAAAAAGACACCAAATAGTGCCAATTAAAATAAGGGCAACAGCAGCAAAATTATTAATATAAACAATGTAAAAAACCAAATTATTGGAACACTTAATCTTATCCCAAGGACAGATCTGTCATTTAAGCACTGAATTACATGTAATTTTACTTTGATTTTTACTCACTTCTGCATGCTCATCTCCTCTTAAATCTTGCTTGGAAATTTCAGGGGGAGGGGGATGAGTTGCATAGGTGGAATGGAAAATCTGATCCATCAGCATCTCCATATTTCTGGCAGACTGACACAACTGTACTGCAATACCTACTAAAGTAAGTAGAAATGGGTAGAGAAAGACTTTCCCTTCCAACTCCACTACAAAGCACCAGGCAGACCTGTGTGCACCCTTAAGCCAGTACAAAATTACAGTAGCATAAATTTCTTGCTGTTCCAAAGGTTTGGAAGAAAGGCCCAAAGACAATTCTGTCCCAAAATGAAAACTTTATCTAAGAGCAGAGCATAATGCTAGCTTATTCCAATAGTCAGCCTAGGTTCAAATTGTATTGTTAAAAGAAACTAATTTCGGCTAAATAAATGTTTATGTAATGCTAGCAAATTTTAAAGAGTTCTGCTTATTAAATTATGGACCAAGAGAACATAACAAGACCTCTCATTAACCAATTATCTTACATTTCAGGTACATTTGGACAAATTTTGTTCTTAATTTGTGCTCATAAAAAACTCTTAGAAAAACACATTAATCTTCTTCAGATACTGACTGGTTACTATTTCTCTGATAGAAACTTCTAGAGCGAGAACTGGAATTGGCATGTTTCCGTGGAGATTTAGACAGCGATCTGGTAACTGAACCTGAGCGCTTTGGATGTGAGCGTGACTTTGTCCTTGAAGTAGAACGTCTTCGGTGGGAGCTGGATGGCGATTTCTCAGCATATTTTGAACATCTCTGCATTGATTTTGATCGTGATCTTCCTCGAGAGGTAGAATTTCTTTGAGGTGTGATTGATCGTCTTGGTGAGCTGGAATGCCTTGGAAGAGATTTTGAGCGAGACTTAGATTGACTATAAGAATGCCATCTATGTCTTGACATGCAAATCATCCACAGTATTAGATCTGTGCTTGATCCAAAGAATTACTGTAGTTTATTTGTCTAAGTTTCCTTTATTGTGAGTTCTAGGCAGACTTTATACCCAAAGTCCCCAGCTGTTTTTTGAAACTAAGGAAACGACTGAGGACATTTTAAAAAGGATTTAAAACAATCACAGAAAGTGAGCGTGGATGGATCTTCCTTAGACAATATCCCTAAATTGTTTAGTCTTCTGCTGAAACCAAACACATTCCGAATTGTATTTTGTACATATTGTGTGTACATTTTGTACCTTGCAACAGCAACAAGAATACAACCACTAAGAGACAGCATGCAAAGCAAAGATAAACCAGTGCTTCCAAGTTATAAAATATAAGCATTTGTAGATAATTCTATATTGTGGATCAACTCTAATTTCTAGTCCTAGTGTTCAAATTACTTTTAAGGAGTCAGATTTACTGAACGTATACATATAAAAGATATCATTATTCATTTTATTGTTTTCCTATGCCATTCTACTTCAAAATAACTTTGAACAGCATTTCCCTTCCCTCATTGGTTACCATCTTTGAATCATGCCCCACTTTATGAAGTAGCATTTGTTTTTACACTAATTGATATTTAAACTAACTTACTCTTTAAAGCTGTCAGAGTGTCTTCTACTCCAGCCCCATGATGAACTTCGGCTACGTGTCCTCCTTCGGCTACGGCTTCTTGATCTTCTGTAATCCATTGGAGAACACTGGCGACGTTCTTTTGACTTCATCTGACCTGGGGCTAGAAATTAAAACAAAAACTGAACGAATGCAAAGAAACAGAATTATCTTACATTGTTAGCATGCTATTACTTTTACATTTTAATAAACTGTCCCTCTACATTGTGAGTGTCATGATTTTTGGGCTTGTGTAATTCTAAGCAATATGAAAATCTACTTTCTTAAATAAATATTTGCAGAATAAGTAAGTGATGTGTTTATTTTCACTTACTTTTGCGATCCCCTTGTGCAAACTGTATTTCAATTTGCCGGCCACATACCCACTTTCTATTGAGGTTATAAAGAGCATCTTCTGCATCACGAACATCTTCAAACATGACTGTCTGTTAAGGACACTTTAAACATGCACAAAGCAAAAAAATGTATCATATAGCATAGACCACATATTCAAATGTTTTTAGAATAAATTAACTTATTTTTATATTCTACATAAAACTTAACTGTTACATATTCTATGTGGTCTCTTAATTATAACAACATTTCATCAAGGCATATGCTAAAAATATGTAAAGTGTGAAAGGAAGATCACATCCCCATTCAGGAAAAAGGACCAATGACCACAATTCACTTTCAGGTATTCACTAAATGCTTTAAAACACTACTGGCTTTGCGCATAATCAAGTTCAAGCATCTACCAGAGTCCCAGAATAGGCAGAAGATATAATTACCTTATCATATAATCATTCCAATTTTGCACAGGCATGCAAAAGTTAGTACATAGATTTTATTTGCAAAGATTATCTATTAAAAGGTTGGTGGGTATTTTGTGTGGGACTTCAAAATCCTGATCAACTGTGTTTGGAAATGTAAATCTCCCTTCACACTTTGTCTATACTCACACATCATAGACATAATTGTTTTAATCATGGTGCGCTCAGTGACTGTACTAGGTGGATTTACATAACATTGGCCAAAAGTAAACAAATGCAATAAATCAACCTCTGAAACTAGTTAAAAGCAGCAATGGAAGACAAGCATATCTGGTGTACTTCAAAATATGAAGCATCTCAATGTCACAAACAAAATAAGACAAGACTGAATAAATCTGAAATTCTTTGACCACTGAAGCAAATACAAAATTCCTGCACAAGCTAACTTAATTTCATTTCAATGGCATATCTTTGTGTAACAAATCTGCTTCTTTTATATGAATGCCAAAAGTCCTGATATGAAGGAATTCTCTGTATAACTGAGCCCTTATATCTCTAGTGCATCTTTGAATAGGTGCAAATATAGTTATGGTATGCACCTTGCAATAAGAGTCTTCATTAGCATCTAATGGATAATTCAGTTTAAAATTTGAAAATATAGTTCAATATTATTCTGCCACTTATTTTCATAATCATCTGACTTTTTCATTTTGCTGTTTTTTAAATTCTTTTACAACAAATAAATTTTGATGATATAGAAATTGTGCTAGATAATCAAAACAAGCACTATTGCACTTATATCTATTTTGTTAGGGAATAAATTAATAGAAAAACCAACAAATATTCGTATACAATTATTTTGTATTAAGAAAACAGTATTTAAAACTAGAACAGTTATAACAAACAAATTCTTGACTTGAAATTTAAGAGTTTGAGCGATAAGATACAAAAGGAAACTTTGTCAGTTACCTCCATGTCACTTGATCTTGACCGTTACTCTTTTGGGCTTGCTAGATGGACTTGACAAGGGCAGTAGAACCAACCAAATCAGACTTGGCTTTGACTTTGGAACTCGTGCAAATGTCGGAAAGCCGAAGCCTTAACTTGGTGTTGTGGCTTTGTCTTTTTCCTTGAAAAAGGACTTTCCCTCTTCCAGTTTTCTTTTTATCTTTTTCCACCCTCCCTCTTTATTCCTTGAAGCTTGAACTTTAAGGTGTCTTTTGGCTTGCCTGCTTGGACTCTATCTAACCGGGTTCATTCAAACTTTGGGGTGCTTGCCAGCCACTGTGGACTGCTTTACATTTTCTGAGACAAAGAAATAAATACATTAAGTTAGGATGCAATAACAACAATGCACCGCAATAACAATACAGTGAAATAAAGGATATTGTATATAAGCAAATCCTCGTGGGCGTCTTGTGTAGAAGTCAAGCGGAATGTATACGTCTACTACAGGGCCATATCGACCAAATTCACGGCGCAAATCCTCAGGCCTGAAGTGTTTTAGAAATAAGGCAAAAAAACATGAGTGTATCTATATAATGGCACCTGGTACCCATGAAATGTTTTCTATATTTAAAAATATTAAAGAAATATTTTGAATAATCCTAAAATTTCTTGTAGTAAACTTTAACTGCTACTTTGGCTACTTGGGGAAATCAAAACTGGCAAATATTGAGTACTTTCAAATATATGACTATTACGTTAAGCAAAAACAGACACGAACCTTTAAGACCTCTCTTATTTATTTTTCTAGTAATGGAAAAAATATATTTGTGTTTTTTATTTGAATAGTGAAACAATTTAGGCAGCTAAATGCATGACAAAAAGGCCACAAACAAGAAAATCGCAAAGTTTGTTTCCCTTCCTGAAAGTGGTATTATAAACTGTACTCTTTTCAACTCTAAAGAGTATAATTTATCCTGGAAGATACCAGGACTTATGAAGGTGAAAGCACACCTTTTTCTCTCACAAATATAGTGATAGCTGAACATGAAGTCTATAATTAAACTGATTCAGGAAAGAGAAAATGAAAACTTCTTTACAACGTAAAAAATGTGATGTAGTGATGAGTTTGAAAAGGGTTACAAGAACTCATAAAAATGATCATGCACTACAGAGAACTGAATAAATAGGGATCAGAGAAATATCACATTTACTGAAGGACCTATGCTAATTACTAATTCATAATTAAAATTGCATTTCTACAATACATTATACTATGCATAAATGTAACCTTAACTAGATTAGTTACAAACATAACAGGTACAGTACCAGACAAATATTAAGGTATTAGATTAGCACAGGGAAAACCAGGTTAAACTTCCACCTTCATCTTAGAATCTCACCTCAGAAACTAGTTATCCAGCTCAATCTAACCCACATCCCAAAATTGAAACAGAGAATACTGTACAGAAAATGTTGTATGTATTATGTGCTATGTTGAGATCCTAAAGAAAAGGACAAGATATAACACAAATCGAAATATTTTGCACAATGTGTGATCTTTAGTTGTTATTTTTTGAGTCTTGGTGTGGGAGGGGTCAGAGCTGATCTAACCTAATTGATTAAGTCCAATAAACATTTGGTATGAACTCAGAAAATGATTAATTCCATATCCACAAAATCTGTGTTGTACAAATGGAGTCATGGGCTAACTGCTGGAATTGGGTTCTTTGTTTTTGCTTCTATGATTTCTGATTATACAACTAAATAATTAATGTATACAAATTTCTAGGTTGGACAATATAATCATTTATTCATTAGCTAAAAGAAAACTTATTTGGATACTTATCATAGATAATGAATCAGCTAGTTATTGCAAATAAACAAAAATCCTATTATAAACAAGGGGATTGTCTCACTTCTCTAAAGAAAATTAAAAGAAATTCCACTCTGGTTGGAACAAAGCCTTTGCATTCAAAAAAAATTCTTAAATGCTATCTCTACACACTGAAGGAAATCCCTACAAGCCTGGAGTTAAACAAACTGATCCCAATTTACATGAGTCTCATTCTGATACACACACACACACACACACACAGAGACTGTATTTTTCGGACTATAAAACACTCCAGACTATAAGATGCACTAACGTTTGGGGAGAAAACGTTAAAAAGAATAAAATCTGCCTCCCAGGAATTTGCCTCCTTGCAGCAAAGCCTGGTCAGCTTCAGCACAGCCTGATTTAGCACGCATAGCTGATTGGCGGTTGGATCTGCCTCCTGGAATATCGCTGATCAGCTGTTCCAGGCCGCAGGGATCACCTCTGCCCATCTCCACCACCACCTATCGCCATCTCCACATTCCCTTATTGGCCTCTGCACTCCCTGTTTTTGGCCCATTCCAGGCAGTGGCAGCAATCCCCGCTGCCTGGAACGGGCCAAAAACAGGATGTGTGGAGGCCAAAAATGGGCCGCACGGAGGCAGCAATAGGTGGCAGCGATGATCCCACAGCCTGGAACAGCTGATCAGTCGTACTCCAGGAGGCAGATCCAAATGCCAATCAGCTGCTCATGATAAATCAGGTTGTGCTGAAGCTGACCAAGCTGTTTGCTACAAGGAGGCAAATTGCTGGGAGACAGATGCTAAAGGGAGTGGGTAGGGATTCGGCAACATTCCCTGTATAAGATGCACAGATATTTACACCCACTTTGGGGGGGGGGGCGTCTTATAGTCCAAAAAATACAGTAGTGTGTGCATAGTGGTCAGTTAGTGCATAAACAGTTGTTTGTTTGATGCATTGCGTGTTAAATATAAGAATCAATAAATAAAGATGGAGTATCTTAGCATTAAAGTACATATTTAAAAACATAATTAGCAAGCTACACAGGAGGTATGTGTGAAAAGAATGGTCGTACAGATCCATATTAGAATCTTAGCAAGCAAATTTTAAATGTTTAACAGCCATGATCCTAATCAATTTGCCTTATTCAAAATTAATCTGTTTGTTTCAATAGAGCATTTCTTGATTATGTACCTTTGCTGGTGCAAAAGGGCCAATTTACATTACAATTGTATTGTGATGTAAAACAGTATTTCCCCCTGTACAGCTGTCAGCTAAATTGAATTCTCCCTATATTTTTGATGAAGAAGACAATCATTAATTGCTTCTTTCCACTTTAAAGAGATAGTTTAATTCTGAAATTCCCATTAAATGAGGAATTTGACCCTTTTTTGAAAGATAAATTGCAGAACCCCCCCTATACATGCAGAATATGATGCCTTGTATCCCAAATTACTGTGAGAGTATCTCTCCTCGTGGAATATTCTGATAGAAAGGGGATATAATACCGTGATGAAAGTGATCATATCCACTGTACTTGTTTTTCATTCCACACTTTTCTTGCTGCAGAAAGAAACCTGCTAGATCAGGAGTGTCAATGCTCGAAGGCTGGATTTGGCCCACAAGGTGCTTAGATCTGGTCCGCGGGGCCACCCTGGAAACAGCAAAGGACCGGCCTGTGGTGTCTCTGCCAGTGAAAATGGATCTCGGGAGGGCAGCCCATCACAACCGAAAATGAAGCTCGGGAGCCCATTTTTGCTAGCAGAGCGCTCAGGCCATCCCTCAGCACCCCTGACACAAGTGGCATCGAACTAGCCACGTCCACTGTGCCCACCCCAAGGTCAAACAGAACCCTGATGCAGTCCTTAACTAAATTGAGTTTGACACCCCTGTGCTAGATCAACAGCAGGGAAAATAACTCACTAACAACATCCTTGCTTTTTCCCTCAGTGGGAGTTTCCACAGCATCATTTTGTTTGTATGTAGGCAACCTATAATTTATAGATCCATTACAATGAAAACAAAGTCAGTAAAATTGTCAGATAAGTTTCCTACTCCCAGATAAATAACAAAGGTTATTTCCCTACTGGTACCTAAACTATAACACAAACATGGCCTGGAAGCATCTTTATTTTATCAGATCTGATGGGTGATCTCATCCATGAGTTAAGATAAACTTAAGCTGCTCTTGGCTATAACTCTAAAGGAATGTTTTCCTCCTGCTCTGATATCATCACGGGCAGTTTTATCACTCATTACCTTGGAGATAAGTCTGGGAACTATAAGGAGTTGAAACAGAGGTTATAAATAAAAGATACGGTTTAGCAATGGTAACAGCAGATTTTATAGGGATGCAGTTTTCTGTTAATGAAAGATAAGAGGGTAGTAGTTCAATAGGGGAAAGAACTATACAAACACATTCTAGTCCCATTCACATAATATTGTTTATAATATTATGTTTTATTGTTTTATACTCAGATGTGTGCAGTATTTAAATTTGAATAAGGATATCTGAATTTCAAATTAGGAGTATTTCTTGATAGCTCCTGAAAAAAGCCATAGCAGCAGGAAAATAACATATGACAGTGATGGTGAACCTTTTTCTTATGGCACACCAAAATTGCACGTATGCATACATGCCCACTCAATCCTCCCTGCCCACGTGTGGCACGCATGGTTCACCATCACAGACATATGAATTCAAGAGGCTTTCAAAAACAGCAGTAACATAGGCTGCCCTGTCACCATCTATAAACATATTATGCAAGATTGCCCAAGACCTGTGTTCTCTGATTTCCTAGAAGACCTGCATGAAGCCAATCCAAAGGGAATAATCTGGATAGCTGATTTGGACATCCAGTTATGAAGCCACTGCCATACTGCATTGAAGTTTTATATATAATTTCATGGACTGTGTGTATATGTATGTTTACTTCTCTTCTGTCATGTTCTCATCATATGCTTAATAATAATGAAAACAGCCATCTCTCAATTTGAAACCCTTATTGTCCTAAGTTTATCTACCAATAAGCCCAGGAAAAAGTTTGCATCTTCTAAAGGGGCTGGTGACTGACTAATTTGGATTCAAATGTTGTACAATCTATTTATTCTGTTCTCTTTTTAGGTCCCAGGAAGACAGGATAACTATAAAAACTTTTAGATAAAGGTCTCTTATGTGAAAGAAAAAATGTTTCAATATTCATTTTTAAAATAAGAAATCGAAGGAGGTAAACAGTCCTGATTATATTTGGGTGAAAAAGAATGTGAAAATATGGGGGTTGGTGATTAGAATGGGGAATGACTCTCTCTCACACACACAGACACACACACAGACATGAACAGAAGGCAGTTACAAATAATTTTGATAATATTGCTGAAAAAATTGCATGGATGCAATTACCAGGAGCCAAACTTAATTTGGGGGCATCTTTACCATGTATATTAGAATTGATTAAATGTTAATTTAATCAGGGAACCATACTTAAATCAATTAAAAATGAAAATTAATCTATATGATACTGATGAAACACAGTAAACATTTTATATCTAATTGAAGTTAAGACCGCAAGCTATTTTCAAAACATACCAAGAACTGAAACTTATACAAACAACTGGATGCAAAGTTTTTGCCTCTTCATAGACAGGAGAGAATTGCAGCAAATACAATCCACTTCCAAATTACAATCTGCCCATCTCAAAATTAACAGTACCTACCTTGTATTTAAAAAAATTACAGAAGCCTAATTCCCATTTGCATCATTAAGTTATATGACTTTCAATTAAACCTCAGGCCTGGAGGTAATAATATCAAAAGAACAGGAAGGTGAGATTGAATCCACAGAATTATATCCTTGGCCTGATTCTAATCTTACATTTCACTGAAAGGACACTGGAAAGGTATCAAAAAATCTGTGGAGATCTCCCCAAATCTTGGGACCAACGTGTTGGGGCATGCAGCTAGATTTCCCCAGAGAAATATACTGCTATGATGATAACAAAAGCAAGTTAAGTTTTCCTCATAGGAATCAATTCGTCGTCCCCTTAAAGCAAATCGTGGAGGAGACGTGACATTGGAAGGGAGGGAAGAGAAGAAATCCTCCTCTTACTTCTTAATCCTATGGAGAGGCTTTTTTTTCCCCTCGTGCTTTTTCCATTGTGCACTCTACGATTTTTTTTAACACCTATTTTTGGGGGGAAAAATAGCAAGGAAATGAACAACGTTCTCCTTGGAATAGGCCCCAGAGGCCTTGAGAAGCAAAGCTTCGCCCAGTAGGTTAATATTCGGTGCAGGTATTAAATGCACAGACGTCGGTGGGGAATTAAAACAAATGAACACCACCTCCTCGAAAATGGTGACGCTTTCTTCCCGCCGCATGCCTAACCCGGGCTGCTCGTCACGCTCCGGCCGAGCCCACATGGCTGCCCCGTTCTTCCGAAAAGGCCCACCGCTCCCTTATAACTCCGGCCCGCCTCCCTCCACCATCTCCTCTCACCTAGTGGCGTCCGCCACGTTCCTGACGAAGAGCGAGGTGTTGGGAGGCCGCGTATAGCGGGACATGGCGGTCGGAGGCCTGAGATCTCCCCTTCGGGAACAGACCAGCGGCGAGCCGAGCAAGGCGAGCTGGAGATGGAGGAGATGGAGGAAGATGAGGAGGAGGCTTCGGCTGCGGCAGAAAGGCCGGGGCTGAGACGGCGAGCGGCGCCGCAGCTGCCACAGCGAAGAGAGGCCCGAAAGAGTCGGCGAGGGGGCGGGAACAATGGCGAGAGCCGGAGGTGGAGAGAGAAAGGGCCGCGCAAGTCTCCTCCTACAGGTCGCGGCCTCGCTAGACACCGCGGGAGCTGTGTCCCGGGAACTGGGGTGGGGATACCGGGGGGAGAAGAACGACTGGATTTCCAACGGGGGGCCGAAGGCTTCGAAACCACCGCGGAGTCTCATGCAGCTGGGAAACCTATCAGGCTGAATTCTCAGTCGAGTTGTGGCATCTTTAGTAGCAGCCAGAGACATCCCATCTCCTCTTCAACTCTTCAATTTATTTTATTCAGCATCATAAATAGGAACTCTCCAACGTTAAAGGTTACAGAAATGAAGAACAATCCGTCAGTTGAAATAAAGAGAGCCGCGGGGATGCAAGAAGAGCAAGTTTATTATTTATTTAGCATTACACCTCCCTTCCCCAAGATTCCTAAACTGTTTACAAGCATTTTTTTTAAAAAAACTAAGAAGTCCAATAAATGACATAACCTCAAACTATGCACTATCTCCAACCCATAAGATAAAATCCCAACTAAAGGTAGTCCGCCATCACCATCATAAGTTTCAAAACGAAATGGTCTTTCCTGCCTTGCAAAGGGTCAAATGCATTCTTGGTGGCAAGGTGTACCAGACTAAGTCCTCCTCTATGAGAAAACTGCTTTTCAGTCTACATCCCCTTCATCTCGAGGCATTAAAAACTCAAAGTACCCCTTTTATAGGTGATGCTATAGGATGGGCAGAATCCATCTGAAGCAGATAGCAGATGAAACTGAACTGTGTAGGACTTTTTAGTTAAAGCTACTGCAAATAGAAGCCTATTTGATAACTACTAAAGCAGCCAAAGTAATGTATTATAGTAGTAGTGGCTTTCCCCTTTCAGAAGTCTGGCTGCTCCTTTTTCTGCCAATTGTAGATGCCAAATTATCCATTAAAGGCAGCTCCACTTATCACACAATAGTCTAAAATGATAATAAAGATCCAGGTCATTGTCACCAAGACTTCCCAGTTAAGGAAGGGCTAAAATAACAGTAAACATTTCTTAACCTTGACAATCTGAAGAAGTGTGGACTTTGACTCCCAGAATATCTACATCAATAACCCCCTAAAAACAGATTAATTTCATGGCACAGTGCCTGGAGAAGAGGCCATGTTTTAAATACCTTAAATTGGGCCTTACTCCAATTTATATAAACCTTACTCTAGTGGCCCTCAAGCCATTGAAGTAAGGTTTATATAAATCTCAAGGACCAATTTAAGCACAAATTAATATATTGATAGCATTGATATTAGAGGCTGAATAGAAAGAAACCTAAAGAGGGACAACAACAACAACACAAAAGGCATGCTTCCTAGATCCCATCAGTTGGCACCATTTAATTGAAAGGATCCAGAGCATGCCCAGATCTTGTGGGATGGACATAAAATAACTGAAGACAAGATATCTAACAAACAACCCATCCCAGTGCCATAAATGACTTTGAAAATGACAACCAGCATCTTGAATTACTTCCAGAAACCTACCAATGAAGCTCATATAGTAGTTACTTGAGCATACTGAGATACATACAAAGCTACCCCACTACTGCATTCTGAACCAGGTGTAGTTTCTGAGCGATTTTTAAGGGCTGCTGTGTATAGTTCATGTTGCAATAATCCAGGTGAAAAGTGACTAAAACATGATGAGTGAAGTAAATAGGAGCTTGCAATTCAAAATGAGTGTAGTTGACATATAAGATATATTACTGCAAAGGAAGGCCATGCTAGCCATGGCTGCCATCTACTCTTCGAGCAGAGGCTGCAAGTCTAGGAGGACGCATACGTTTAATCACCACTTCCATTTGCAATAATACAACTTCATCCATAATCAATGATGGGTATTGCTAGATCTGATAGGCTTTCAAATTTATAACCATCAGGGCTGAGATTAAGCTTATTTCTTTCCAGTTAGGTACCCATGTCTCCCAGACATTAAGAAAAATCCTGAATGGCATCACTTGGTCACCCAGGGTTGGAGATACACACAGCTGAATATACGGTGGTCAGCTTATGAGGAAATCTGATCCCATAGATTGGAAGATCTTACACAGCAGCCTCATGTAGATGTTAAATAGGAGAAAGGAGATAGTAAAGTCCTGTAGGACTACACAAACCTAAATTCGACCAGTTCCCTACACCAATATTGACTGAAACTAATCCCAGAGGGATTAGAACCATTAGAACCATTACAATACCATGCATCCTATTCCTAACCTCTTTTGCCAGTCTAGAAGGATACTATGGTTGATGCTGAGAAATAATGGAAAATTAAGAATAATACATCATCCTTTCCCAAGCTTTGTCAGAGATCATCCACAAGTAATCAGTGACTCTCTAACCTTTTCTTTGTGGCATTGATCTTGTTACAGAAGAGATGACAATTATTTATTTGATTTTATAGCTGCCCTTTTCATCAATGACTCTGGGTGACGTACCTCATAAAACTTAGAAACAAAAACAATTATCCAGACGCCATCCAATCCAAGCCCTCTTCAGTTTTTCCTTCCAACCTCAGCTGAGTTGTGCAGCAATTCTCCCATCCAGAATAAGGTTTTGGAGAAGAGGCACCTTATTTCAGGTAGTAGTTGGAGGCCAGAGTAACAGAGTTACCAATGACTAGATAATGAGATACAGTCCAAAGGGTTGCAGTACAGAATTGGTATAAAAAGTCAGCTTCATAGAAGTTCATACCTTCATAGGTATGTGTGAGCTATGTGGCTATATAAATTTAATAAATAAATGGAATTTAGAAGTCCATAAGCTCATAGAAGTTCATATCTTCTAGAGCAGTGTTTTTCAACCTTTTTTGTGCAAAGGCACACTTTTTTCATGAAAAAAATCACGAGGCACACCACCATTAGAAAATGTTAAA